TTTTTTATAAAATTAATAGTTATATATTATTATAACTTGAATACTCCATCTATTTCAAAATAAAAATCATTTAAAATTATTACATACAAATTAAGAAAAAATATTTATTGAATCAATAAATATAATATTTTTTATAAAACTAATAGTTATATATTATTATAACTTGAAAAGAATGCTGATAATATTTATTAAGGATAAAATTGAAAAAATTAATTAATATTATATTGAAAAAATAAAAAAATTATTATTTTAAGATAATTTCTTGAGTTAAAAAGTGGTTTATTATGAGACAGAAGTGTATGTTATCGAGACGCGACTGCTTGAAGTTACTCTTGCAATTAAAATTCACAAATATGTAATATTTACAAAAGAGAACTATGACGTGGTGTTAGACGAGTGAAGTGGATTTGTCAAAAGTCTTCCCTAAATTCCACACCTCCTTCCTCATTTCAGTCTCTTCCTCCATCCCAAATCAAAACCCTTCGCAGAGTAATCTGCTTCACGAATCGAACCATGGCTTCCCATCTCAACCTATCACGATTCGCATTCTTGACGCTAACCACCATCATCTTCTCCCTCTGCTCCACCACCGGTTCAACCGAAGACCGAACCACCGAGCTTCTATCACTTCAATCCCGATCCGCTTCCGGAATCATCCATCTCAACGACCAGTCCATCGCTCGTTACATCACTTCCGTCAATACCCCAAGACCCTACTCCCTCCTCATCTTCTTCGACGCCGCGCAACTCCGCGACAAATCCGAACTCCGTCTCACCGAGCTTCACAAAGAATTCTCCATCGTCGCTTCCTCCTTCATCACCAACAACGCCAACCATTCCTCTCTTACAAAACTCTTCTTCTGCGAACTCGAATTCAAAGAGTCGCAACTCAGTTTCTCCCAATTCGGCGTCAATTCCCTCCCTCACATCCGTCTCGTAAGTCCTAATCACGGACTCAAGGATTCCGAACACATGGATCAGGGAGATTACTCTCGCCTCGCTGAATCAATGGCCGAATTCGTCGAAGCAAAAACCAAGTTATCCGTCGGGACAATTCATCGACCTCCCCTCCTCTCGAGAAACAAAATCATTCTCATTGCGGTTGGATTCTTGATCTGGCTATCTTATTTCATTAAGAAGCTTCTTACCGGTGAAACTCTGTTGCATGATCCTAGGGTTTGGTTGGCGGGTTCTGTTTTTGTTTACTTTTTCAGTGTTTCTGGTGCAATGCATAATATTATAAGGAAAATGCCTATGTTTCTTTTGGATCGTAACGATCCTTCAAAGCTTGTGTTTTTCTATCAGGGATCTGGAATGCAGCTTGGTGCTGAGGGTTTTACTGTTGGATTCTTGTATACACTTGTGGGTTTGCTTTTGGCGTTTATGAGCCATGGGCTTGTTAAGGTCAAGAGTGTTAAGGTGCAGAGGGTGGTTATGATTTTTGCGTTGTTGGTTTGCTTTTTGGCTGTGAAGCAGGTTGTGTTTTTGGATAATTGGAAGACTGGATATGGGATTCATGGATATTGGCCCTCTAACTGGAACTTTTGAGGTTTGGCGCGGTCTATTTGATTTCTTTTCCTCGGAAACTTGAGAATTTTGGGTATGTTAAACTATGCATTCCTTTGTGAAATCTGAAAACTTACTGAGAATGATGTCTTATATTATGTTAGAACTTTAAATGTAGCTTGTCATTGTCCTTTTGTGCCAATGACTCAGATTTGAGTTAGAATTTGAGTATGAAACAAAAATTATAATCCTGGGAGTACTTTTTGTTTGGATGTGTTATGGTTAGTGGTAATTGGATTATGTTGCATATTATTTTTCGGATTTTATGCTGTTAAGTTGATTGGAATATCTGTCTTAAGATGCTCCCTTGAAACTGAATGTGCATGCACTTGTATTTATGTGTAAGTGTGCGAGAGATATAGCCATTAATCTTTAGGATTCAGCTTGTCTGAACTGCAGGGTGTAGTGATGAATGAGAAAATCAAGAGAGTTAGTTTTGATAAATCCATAGATCTCTAATAACTGGCTTCCAAAATTTGAGTCATTTAGCACTTCACACCGAAAAATTTGTAATCAGGGGAGTGCTTTTTATTTGGATGTGTTATTAGGCATAATTGGACAATGTTGCATGTCCTTTTTTTGAACTTATGCTGTAAGTTAATTGCTATATGCCTATATCTGTCTTAAGATGCTCCCTTAAAACTGATTGTGCAGCTATGATGCATAGCTATGGTTACGGTACTCGGTACGAGATACTGTATTAAATTGTTCAATTCACAACAAAATATTACAGTAAAAGTTTAAAAGTAAAAATTGTGTTAAGTTGCCATAACAGAGAAACTCAAATCCATAAATGTATTATATTAATAAATGAAAAAACCACAAATTTTACTTGAAACATAATAATGAAAAAAAACACTGAAGTGCAGGTATATTTATGGAATATGGATGAGAAAATTGAAGTGCAGACACTTGTATTTTTATTGAAGTGCGTAAGAGATATAGCCATTAATCTCTAGGATTCAGCTTATGTGAAGTGCAGGGTATATCTATGGATGAGAAAATTGAGGGAGTTAGTTTTGATAAATCCATTGATCTCTATTAACTACGATTAATTAGCTTATCACAAAAATATGACCCACTTAGCACTTTACTCTAGAATTTCCTATTTGACTTTGGAATACCCTACTTCTCCTAAATCACAAGTCAAAATGTGGTTGTTTTGATGAAATCTTTGTTAATTTTGGTTCAATACTCAAATTACTAGTCCACTTATATGACCCAGTATAGTAAACTGTGTTAATTTCCATGGTCATGCCTGCACTCGATTGACATGTTTTTAAAGTTAATTTTTAGTCTTTGATGCTCAAACTTTGGCCAATGGGTTTGATAATCCAAGTTCTCCTTTTTAACACTTTTAGTATGTCTGGGTAGAGAGAAAATAGGAAGGTGGAAAATAACAAATTTTATATGCCAGTGCAAAATGGCTAGTTGTCTATTACTTTTCTCGCTTTCATGTTGTATAATCATATGTTTTCCAAGACTGTCACCTTCCTAGTTTCAACCTACTAAACCAAGTAAACTCATAGGTTTTGTTTGGGAGTTTAGGAGGGGAGGGATGTGTTCGAAAAAAAAGGAAGGATGAAGTAGAAAAATATGAAGGTTTTGGAAAGGGGAGACTTTGGGGGATTATTTTTCTTCATAATTCAAAATACCCCTAATATGGGGGAATTCAAAATTGTATTGTACAATGACTTTGGAGGGTTTTGGATGACTTAGATAAATTATTCAAATTCAATCTATGTTGTTATAATTATCTAAATATTAAAAATATATTAATCACAAACATCAATTTATCATTCTATACAAAAGCATTCTCTCAAAAAAGTTAAAAGATTTGTCTTTTTTTCCTTATACTCTTCTCCCTTCAAGGTCTTCCATTCCCTCCAAAATCCCAAACAAAGCCTTAAAACCAAAGGCATCTGTACATCTGACTTGGCAGTGAGTGATAAAAAAAGTGGGTAGCATAATTTTGGTTGTTAGCTATATGCTGGGTGTGGTATTCGCAAGCTCAAGTTTAATCTCTTGCTGAAAAATTATATGCCATAGGAACAGATAACAGTTTTAGATACATCATCTATACATGGGTTTGGAAATATATTCAGTCTCAAATTTTCTGATCATTTGATACAAACCTATTGAATCTTGTGTTAAGTGGTCAACATGTTGTTAGTATTGGGTGCAGTGTTGTCCAACAACAGAGATTGTAGGTTTGGATTCTTGTCTTGTAGTCGAAAGCTTCTGAGCAACTTCATATCAACCTGTTTTATGGAGGCATATGGAGCTTCCCTTTCACTATGCTGATGTTAATTTTCACACCGCATTTGATTTTGATATCTCAATTAATCAGCGGGAACTTAGCTGGATCTGAAATTTGAAAAGATACAAATTTTAACTTTGGGTTTTACTGGTTTATTTTTTCGGCAATGTTATAAACATGCATGCTACTTGAACTTTTGGCACAATTAATTATGTATTAGATTTGACTTGTCTCTAGATTCTTTTGGCTGATACATGCATTCCAAACTTTAGTTCATAAATTTAACCCTTCACAAGATGACTATATCCTATTTTTACACACAGCATGGAATGTGATTCATTTTGTTCATTCAGTTTAATCTCAACTGCCTATTGTTGAATGGTCTAAAGCACATTTGAAGCACCTTCTGCTTCCACCCTAATTAATCACTGCAACTTCTATTTTCATTTCATTGCTTTCTCTTCTGTTGTCTTTTCCTTGCAAGTTTAATATTTTGTTGCAGTTTAATCATGTCTTTCTTAAGTAATATTTCCTTTGTTAAAAAGGCGATATATCCTTCGACCCAGAACAGTACCATAGCAAAGAAGTAAGTTGCTTGTAAAAGTGTTTGAGTTTGAGCTGCGTTCCCCTCAAAAGAATAAGGTTTTAATTGATAGCTGCTCCAATAGTTCGAAAACTCCTGCAAGATCTGACCATCACTTGTAGATGACAGATTCACATGTCCACCCTCAAAATAAAGATGTGCAAATATCCAATTTCTTTCACATGAAATCCAACTGCAGAGTTTAAAAAGAGTAGATACTTTTGGTAGTCTCGTGTAAACTACCAAACCCACGGAAACAAGACAATTTACACTTTTCCTGATTAAGCTCTTTATGTGAGGTCGATTAACAAAATATTTGAGCAAATTGCTAGGGCGTCAAGGCAGTGTACTTTGATTGTCTTTAGAGATCAAATCGCCCCATGAATCAACAACTACCTTAGATAATTCGAAAGTGTTGTCAAGGCTAATACCATCAATTCCACCAAAGATTTCAAAAACCTTAAGATTTTGTGTGTGAATATTAATTTTTCCGTGGTGCCTTGTAGATATAAACTATAGAGAGAACATAGCTCACCTCTCACTCACCCTCTAACTTCTCTCTAAAAGGGGTTAGGGGTGATTTTCACCTTCATGAACGGTGGGATTTCTCACCAGAGAGGAGGGGTGGGTGGACGCGAAGAAGAGGGCATTCAGAAATTGGGTTCCCCAACGGGATTATTTTTCGGCAGGGAGGAGAGCGTTTGTTAACAGCCTTGAAAAAAATCACTTCAATCTATTTCTTGGAGTTCTCTGACGATAGCAAGGCTAAAGACTTCTACGACCTGTTTGGATGCACTGGTAAGGTGGTGGAAGTGGCGATATCTCCAAGAAGGAATAATATTGGGAAGAAGTTCGACTTCACCAGGTTTAAGGAGGCGGAGGACACGAGGCTTTTAGCGGTTAGACAGGATAACGTTCAGATTGTAGGAAGAAAATTCATGCTAATTTACCAAGGTTTGAAAGAAACAATTTCCGAAAGAGGAAAGGTTCAGGGGGAAGATGAAGCTCGGGGATGTGCCGAATAGCAAGGTTCCACGTCGGAACAACAAAGCTTTTATTAGTAGGAGGGATAAAAGAACTTTTGTTGATGTAGTTTCCAACACTCAGGCGAAGGCGGTACAGGGTGTGAAAAGTGGACTCGTGTATTCATCTAAGGAGGAAAACAAATCGAGACTTCAAATTGCCTATGTTGGACAAGTCTTTTATCCAGGTTCTGCTCAACATACAAACTAATCCGGAGATGGAGGGATATTTCGCTATCAAGGTTACTCAGCTGGGGGGAATTTATGCCTTTTAGAAGAATCATAGGAAGGAGTCATTGAAGATTTGATTTAGGAGGGGGAAATATGGTGGAAGCAATGGTTTATGGAGGTTAGGAAGTGAAATGAGAAGGTGATAGATGACGGTAGAGTAGTGTGTATTAGGGTTTACAGGAACACTCATGCCTGGAATGCCGAATTCTTCGTGGATTTGGCTAATTTTTTGGGATCTTTCATTTGTCTAGACGAGAACACTTCCAACGACGTTAATCTTGACATAGCAAGATTTATGTTGAGGGTGCCTCTCTCTTAAGTTGAACGAAACATTTAGTGTGGAAATTGATGGCAAGGAATTCATTCTTGTGCTAAGGAAAAGTCTTTTGGTCCGCTCACTTCAGCTTCAGGTAATTCTAAAACTCAAATTACCAGTTCTGCTTCTTCTGATTCGGAAGAAGACTGGTCTTGTGATCAGTTTGATGGGTTAGCAGGATCCGTGAATGTTGATGCTGAAGACAATATTGGTGAGTTCTCGGTTAGGAGGGGGGACGGTAGATTCGGAAATTGGGAATAATGGTGTGAAATTTAAGGACGGGGGAGGTAGTAATCACAGTTTTTCAGATGATTGTAAGGGTACAGATGGAGTTTCCACGATTGTTTTGTTCGATAAGCTTGTGGACAATTTAAAGGGACTGAAGTGTGTGGAGGAAGAAAGTTTGGGTGCTGATTTTCAGAACTCCATTCTCTCGGGGACGAACGTTTCAGCCGTCAAATGCTCGTTTGCTGATTCTCCGAGAGGAAATATTCTAAAAAGTTGAAATTTAAGAATATGGTGGATTTGAGTGGAATACTTAACAAGAAATCCTTTAGGCCAGCGAAGCGAATTAAGAGGATGGGGAAAACCAATTATTTGCCAAAGGGGATATCCAAGTCTCTTAATACTTAACTTTCCAAAGAATGGGTGTGCTAGTGGTCCTATCTCTATGTTCCAGCGAGATAAAACAGTGGGTGTGTGCCAGTTTTCCACGGTGATCAAAGAGAGCACTCAGATATTTGTAGGAACAATGGCAGACAATGTGAGTTTCTGGACAGTAATGTAGGTGACAGATTATGATCTGCAATAACATCGTTGGGATTGGTGGATTCGGTAGGTTGGAATAATTATGTTAGTAGAATTGAGGAATTGGAGAAAGTGGATAGAAAAAGGAAGGAAGCTAGGAAGGAGTTCTAAACCCGCTTGAAATGATAATTAGGTCCATGAATATAAGAAGGGATGGCAATGCTCTTAAAAGTAGAAGAATTAATTCTTTGATTAATAAGGACAATGCAGATGTGTTATGATTCAGGAAACGAAGTTAACTAAGATTCTTTAGCTAAAAGGTTTTGGTGTAATACCGAAGTTGGGTATTCTTTCTCCAATTCTTGGGAATGTCAGGGGGTCTTATAACCATGTGGAAGGAAGGTGTGGTGGAAGTGTTAAACAATTTCAAAGGTGATGGTTATTTAGGAATCAAAGTTATGTGGAAGAACAATATCTATTATGTGGTGAACATTTATTCCTCGTATGAATTAAACAAAAAAAATTATTTGGAGTAAATTGTTGGAGTTGATAGATGCTTTCAATGATGGTGATTAGATTATAGGTGGCGATTTCAATGCTATCAAGGATCGTAGAGAGAGGAAGGGGAGGACGGAGGTGGTGAGTAATAATGAGATGAAGTCTTTTACGGAATTCATTGAGGAGAGTTCGTTGGTGGATATTCCGTGTAAAGGGAAACAAATTCACATGGTATAGTGGTGATGGTAAGTCGATGAGTAGAATTGACTTGTTCCTTTTGTCGGACAATGTAGTGAATAAATGGGGAGTCATTGTAGGAACAAGAAGTGTTTTACATCTGGTCTTGTCTTAAGATTTGGATGATAACTTTACATGTTATCTTTAAGAACAATTGTATACTCTAATGGTTTGTTTTAGTGTGTAGCTGCTGCTATAATGTTCTGACTCTGATATCAAGATATGTGACGTCATCAGGTTCTGAACATACAATACTAGAAGAAAACATGTGATTACTTGTTACAATTGAAGTCAAGATTTTAAATAAGTCTTCTGTAACGTGTCTTAGGAACGTTAGTACAAGAGGTTCTGATCGTGACTTTATGATTAAGCTTTGGAGGCCTTCTAAAGCTTTACTTTTGTGTGTTACAAATTTTGAGGATTATGAAGACGAGGTTTTGCTGAACAAGTTCTGATGATCAGAAGACAAGCAAGTTCGTACAACCAAGTGCTGAAGACTCTAGAGACAAGGTTCTGATAGGATAAGTTCTAAAGACTCCAAGACTTAGGTTCTAAGACTTAAGACTGATTCTTCTACAACAAGCTTCAACTTACAAATTATCTAAAGCCTCTGAAGATAAGAAGTTCAAAATGGTTAACGTGTGATGGTGTACAAAAGGTACATAAAGTGTCTGTGACCTTTATTCTCTAGGTTGATGTAAGGACAATCCGTTTCTATACTATACTGTGACCACTCTCATTATGACCGTTGAGAACAAACAATTGGATTTTCGATTACCTTTCTACCCTTTCAACGGATCTCTTTTACAAGATATAAAAGGAAGACTTGGAAGCTGAAGAAAAATAAGAATCAACATTACACAAAATATATCAGATTAAATCAAGCTCAAGCAAAACTACACAAAGCGCTGCGCAAACTCTTTAGAGAAAATCTTCTGTGTATAGTTTTGTAAATAGGCAAGGAGTTGTTGCTCATATCTTGCTGTAAAACACTTATGTGTTTTCTTTATACTGAAACGTCTGTGTAATCAGCTTACAAGAAAAAAAATCTGTAATACATTGAAAGTATTCAACTGTTGTTGATTGATACCTTGAGAGATCAAGTGAAGGTCTGATCTCAAAAAGACTCCTACTGCGGCTTGAGTGGATTTGCAATAAGGATCGACTGACTTATTCGGGGTGCCAATAAGGTCGATCTGACTTATTGTAGGTTATCTGTAATTAGTTTGGTTATAGTGGATTAAGTCTTTGTTGAAGGCGAAATCACCTTGAGGGGGTGGACTGTAGTAGCTTTGTTAATAATTAACAAGGATAAAAATAATCGTGTTCATTTATTTTTATGTTATAGGTTAACTTAGTCTTTCATCATCGAAAAGAATTCAAAATTATTTTTGGTGAAACCCAATTCAAACCCCTTTCTTGTGATTCTCACACCTTTAATTGACATCAGAGCTCCGGTTCTGGTATTGATAGTTATCAAACACTTAATTGTGTCAGATAAAGATCCAAACGAGTCTTTCTTTGAAGAAACACAATGGTCGAACCCATACCAACTAAAGTTGCTTCAGATTCAAACGATAAAGGCTACAATGTAAAATCTCCCATCTTTGATGGTGAAAAGTTTGAATATTGGAAAGATAGACTAGAAAGCTTCTTTCTAGATCATGATGTTGATCTTTGAGATATGGTAATCGATGGCTACGTACCTTCCACAGATGATACTGGAAAAGAGATAGCTAGGAGAGCTATGACTGATCAACAAAAGAAAGATCGTAAGAATCAGTATAAAGCAAGAACCATTTTGCTGAATGCCATTTCTTATATTGAGTATGAGAAGATCGCAAATAGAGACTCTGCTAAGTCTATATTTTATTCTCTCAAAATGACTCATGAAGGAAATGATCAAGTAAAAGAAACCAAGGCGCTGGCTGACCTTGATTCAGAAGTATGAAGCTTTCAAAATGGAGGATGATGAAAGCATTGAAATCATATTCTCAAGATTTCAAACCTTGGTTGCAGGACTGAGAGTTTTGAACAAAGGTTATTCAACGACAGATCATGTGAAGAAGATTATCAGAAGCTTTCCATCTAAATGGAGGCCTATGATAACTGCACCCAAGCTTACAAAGAATCTGAACAACACTTCTCTAGAAGAAATGATAAGTTCTTTAAGAAGTCATGAGATTGAGCTAGAACAAGATGAACCGCAGAAGAAGACAAAATCTATTATGCTCAAGGCCATCAAGAAATCTGAGAAGTCCAAAGCTCTTCCAACAGAAGGGATAGAGGATTTTGAAGAAGATCTCGATGATGAAGAAAAGGAGTCGTCTCTACTGTCCAGAAGGGTTAACTGTCTATGGAAAAGAAGTTAAGGCAACAAGTTTAGAAGTTCAAGAAGGACTGAGGTCGCTTCGAACCAACTACTGGTCAGAGAAAGTCTAGTTTCTTTTCTTGCAAACAAACCTTCATCCTAGAGGTGAAGTCCTGGATGATGTGTTTCCAAGGGATAAGTGTCTAATCTTCTGCCTTCTCAATAAAATCCCTGTTAATTTGTCTGCTATTATTTTCAACCACCTAAAGGAATCAATCTTAGATTCCAGAGACCCTAAAAAAATCCTTCATACCCTATGGGCGTGTCTTATCTGATCTATTTGAATTACCCGGGGTAATTAAAATTGTTAGAAAGGTTGAGTTCTCAAGAGGAAACACTCTGTTTGACGAATGTTGCGAGGTCTAAGCCAGTATCCTTGTACTCAAAATAAATATCTTCTTCATGTCATGTTTTGTGTGTCAACTCATTGTACTGAACAACTTATCATATCACCAGTTATTTATAAAATGGTGTATTAACATGAGATATTCTTGATTAATATCTATCCCTAAAATTTTTTGCTTATATTCCTAGATATATTTCTTCGTGATACTCTAAATGTTCTGGAACGATTAAATCACCTTTTCATCAAGTGTTCCAAATAAGGAAAATCAATTCAAAAGAAAAATGTATGATCTTAAGCAATATATATAATTAATCAGTACTCTGCTTAGAAGATCTCAAATGATCACGTGGCTTCAACAACAGGACTTCAAGTTCATCTTTCTGTCTCTTTTTCAGCTTTTTGATTTCTGACAAAGGGGGAGAAAGTAAAAATGATTTTGTTAATATTTATTTTTAGAATCTTAAACTCATACATGTATAATGTTGTTGCTATTATCTGTTTATTTGATGTTTCAATCCAGAAACTTTAAACAAGTTCACTGAGTATTCTAAGACAAATTGAAGATGAAGATCTTGATGCTAAGGTTGAAAACCTTATGGATGAAATCAACTCTGATTTCATATAGAAGTTGTACACTTTGTGAATATATGAATATTTAAACAGATGTACCAAATACAATTCAGAAGTTATAAATTTACTGAAAGTAAGGTAATCTTACTTGATATCATAGTGTTTAAAAGTTGTTAACTTTCTGAAAGTATGGAATTAAGAGTTAAAGCTCCAGAAGCTGTGCTCTCCTGAAAGGAAGTCAAGGCAATATTCTGATGCATGCTCTCAATAATACATGCACTCAGAAGCTGTGCTCTGATACGTGTGCTTCTGTAACATACGCTATATTCAGAAGTTGTGAACTGTCTGAATATTTGATATACTGGAAAATATCAAGTCAAACACTGATATTTAAGAAATAGTGAACTTATCTAAAAGTATAGTATTTTGGTTGTGATATCAGAACCATGAAATAGAAGCGCTGATAAATGATGCGTGACATTATTCAATCAG